TTACTAAAAAGTATTACCAGCGAAAAAAGAAATTATTGAATCGAAGTCAAATCCTGAACAGAAATGGCGGCGAAACATGTTGCGGTATGTTCGCGTTAAGCGCATGCTCGCTATGATTTCTTTACTGGGGCAGTCATAGAAACCAGAAAAGCGGCGAGATCAAAGGTAGCTGCCAGCCCCACTCCCCACCCCCTGGTGAAATCTAATTCATTGCAGAATTTTATACTTGATTGACATTGCAACAGAAGAAAAAAAAATTATTTTTTAAGGTCATTAGGCAAGATATGACCTGCCTCGGGGCAGGACTCGGTCTCCTTGATCTTAAGGTGTCGCGGCCATAACTATGTCTGATCGCGACATAACAGTCGCACATGTCACGAGCACGTCATGACAGAATTTATGTTCAATGGAAACATCGATCCTGTTAGTGCGACCCCTGCCCAAGTCTTAAATTTTTAATTTCGTTTTATTTGTATGGTAAAGCCTATTAATGAGTGCCAACTGAGCTTTAATAACTATTTGTTTACCTTTAAATGTTGACAAAGACCAGTTTGTGACTTTCGTCTTTTTTGACTGTCGCTCACTTACAAGTTCTTCAAGTTCGCTTTCGCTTAAACTTGCGAATCTCTTTGCAGGTGGCTCGAAAAAATGCTCCCAAATAAGTCAAAGGATGGAATTTCTGTCTCATNTTTAGTTGCGTTATAAATCCTAATTAGATGTTAGTTCTTGCTATCAATTTATCTCGTCTTTGAACCAGTTAAAAGCACTTTATTTAATTAAGCCCGTGTTTTCACGAGAGATGTTTGCATGGGATACTCCTTTCATTTGGGAGATACACTTTGGTCAGCGTTGAAGAGCTTAAAAACCTATTATATTTGCAATTGCCTTGCTCACAAACATGGACTGGTCCTTTCAAAATGAAAGGTGTACTGCACATGCCTTGATTTGTGGTTGTCAAGCTGATATGCAACAAGTTCAACACGACCAGGAATGTGATTACAGTGAATGAATGTGTGTAGAAGAAATTCTCCTAAAAAAGCTGATAACAGTTGCACTGTGTTCAAATAACATTTAATTAAGTAACTTCCCACTGTGAATAGCATGATAAAAAATATGTTATTATCTTTTTGTATTTTAAAACAGATCCAACCGATTAAGGCAGTATTGGGTTTGACAAAACAAT